TAATTATTTTAAAATGTTTGCTCTTTCATATGATTTACTTTTTAATGCATATCAACATTTTTGTATACATTCAAAATTAATTTACATTTTACTGAGAATTATTTTTTAATTTTATGTCCTTTTAGTTTTTACTATTCTGTAGTGTTTGCTTTTTTTATTTTGATAAAGTAATTTTTTTTTTACATTTTGTTTTTGATCTAAAATATTTTATGTTGTATGTAACGTATGTTTAAGCATATTTATATTTTATTTTTGTTGTTTATTCTATAGATTAAAAATCAATTTCAATTTTAGTTCTAGTTAATTATTTTCAAATATTTTTACCTTATTTATTTTATTTTTGTTAAATGTTTATCTATGAATGCATTTATATTTAATTTTTTATATATAATACTCTTTTAGTTTGTAGTTTATTGTTTGTTTAAATATTTTCAAATTTCTACCTAAAGTTGAATAATTAATTTCAGTTTAGTGTTTCAATTTTTAAGTGTTTATTATATGTTGTTTGTATTTTTTCTTCATTCATTTAGAATTTTTATTTAATGCTATGATACTAGGAGCCAGCTGAGGTGGCTCGGGCATCTGTTTCGGATGCCTCCTGGGGAGGTCTGATGATGAGCTGATCATTTGAATCAGGTGTGTTGGAAGAGAAAAACATCTAAAACATGCAGGATTGTGGCCCTCGAGGAGAAGGATTGCCCACCCCTGCTCCAGGTTATCCCATCCTACCAGACAGACGTGTAGAATTGTTTAAAAATTGGCTGAGTTGGACCTCACCACAATCGGAGGTAGTCCCTATGTTAAACCAGGGTAAGCCATAAGTAACTCGTTGGAAAACTTTGTGTTGCTGCTGTTTCTCATGGAAATGCTGCAAACTGTTTTTCTTATCCCGCAGGTACAACATTTGCATAAGAAGCTTTTTTTTTTCTTTTTAAAAAAGGGTATTTATCACATCTAAGTGTAAGTTGCGTATACTAAAGTTTTGTTTTATGCTCAAAGGTACCGTCTGGAGTGAAGAACTGGGATATCAAGATGACTGTAAGTCAATTTAAATGACAGCATTTCTAACTTTGTACTAGTTGCGTGGCTAACGTTTCTACTGTTTTTCAAAGTCCTCTTTTCTCTTAGGACGCCGTTCAACAGAGGGAGGAAGAAGAGCATCAAAGTGCTTTCACACGTGCCATCAATGATGGACGCAGCGCCCCCTTCAGGAGACAGCGAGAGTGAACGTTTAGTGTCTTATCCCAGATGTGCATTCTGCAGGACTTGCTGATTAAATGATCCTGAAGAAACGCTCTCATCTCGTCTGTACTACTGTATGTCCAGCAAAATGACAATAAACCTGATTTGATTACATTTTAGAATGTTACATGATTTTTTCAATTGTTATGATTTGAATGGGAAATTTAATGTTTTGTGTTCACCAAAGTGAAACATGACAGTTTTTCTGTGTCCGGTCTGCTGGGATCAGAGTTNTTGCAGCTTGACATCCATTTTAAAAATCAGACCATCGATGCCTCGACAGCAGAAACTCTGTTCCAGTAATGCTGTGGCTGCACACTGCATAAATGCATGTTGTTGTATTTTATAATCTATACGACTAAACTTCCTAAAGAAAAACACACATTATCAGATTGTGATTGAAGCCGACTCACCAACATGTCGAACGCTGTCTGTCAGACTGTGGATCAAGTTTTGGACTCGTCCTGCGACAGCGTAAGCATTCCTGCTGATCGCTCTGATTTCATCCAACGCAGCTGCAAAACAACAACACAAACTTCACACATCGACAACCTGCAGGTTTAGTTTGTTCATCATGAAGATTCCTGTGACTGGATTTAAAGATGGTGATTTTTACTTCTGTAAATCTAGATCAAAATATAAGTAACAGAAATAGACTCTGATTCAACACCTCTGTCATTAAACTGAGATGTTCTTTTGGACTAAGTTACAGATATCAGCAATTCATATCCGGTACCATGAACTTTAGCAATAATGCACAGAAGTATTAAAAATCTGGATTTGAATCAGCAAAAGTATCCAAAGTATTGATAATAACTTAGAAAAGCGTCAAAAATGTGTAAAATTGGTCATTATGGTGGAGGCAAATCTTACAGAAAAGGGGCGTGGCTGCTCGCTGCATCAGCTCCTGCGTTTGATTGGCTGCCAGCTCAGCTCCACACAGCAGGCTGGAGGCTGCTCGCTCACTGTTCTCCAGGGTGTTGGCCAGCGGACCAGACAGCAGAACCGACACATACAGGAGGAGAACCAGGTTCCTGCCACGACCTGGAACATCAGAGACTGTGATCAGGGAGCTCAAACGTTCTGCAAAGTTCTATGGTGTTCTCAGTGGGAAGATTCTTTTTAGAATATTCTTGAGAATTAAATCAGAATACAGTTCTGTGTGAACGGACAGATTGTGGTAAACATCAACGACTCACTTGAGCACAGTGAAGGCAGCATCACCATGACGCTGGCCCGGACTCCAGTTGACAGGCCCATACCAAAGGCTGCCAGGCCGCCCAATGCCAGCGTGGTTTTGACACAGAACCACAGCGGCTGGTTCTGCAGGAGGAGACCCAAGAGTCCATACAGAGACGCCAGCAGCAGCCCGAACAAAAACGCCAGCAGGCTCCGTCCCGCCTGGCTCAGGTGACCTCTGAACTTGCTCACGCTGTGAGAGCGTCCAGCTGACCTGAGGATGAACCAAAAGCTGAGCATCAACCAGGGCTGCAGCTAACATTCATCAATATTTATTATTTACTGGAACAATTGATCAACTGTTTGGTCTCTAAAATGTCAAATATGGTGAAAAATGTGGATCAAAGTATCCTCAAATGTCTTGTTTTGTCCAAAGATGTTCAGTTTGCTATCACAGAGGAGGAAATAAACCAGAAAATATTCGCAATGAAGAAGCTGCAGTCACAGAATTGAGACTGTTTATAATAAGGAATAATTTTTAAAAAATTTGATCATCAAAATAGTTGCCAGGTAATCAATTGACAATTAAACGATCAAACAGATTTGCTGATCAATAATGAAAGTAATACTAGCAGGAACCCTGAACATGAGCAGCCTGACACTAAAACATGAAGACAAACAAAGGATTTATTTCTGATCGGGTTAACATGTATTTAGTCTTTTAGCTAACTGCAGAACCAAAACCCTGAAATATGGAATATTAAATTATTCTATATTACTTGATATAAAATAATAAATATAGCAGCTTTAGAGTAAACATGTCAAATCTACCTGTAGCAGAAATACAGAGTTGAAAAGCTGAAAAACTTTTAAGTGTAAACTAATAAACAGAGAGAACGTGTTAGCATCAGGCTAACCGTTAGCATTAGGCTAACAGCTAGCTGCCCTGAGTGTTTGTTCAGTTACCTGTTCAGGACTCCTCTGACAGTCTGCGTGACTCCGCCCTTCTCCACCTGGACTCTGATGTCCCTTCTCTCCAGGAATCTTTTCTTCTCTTCACTCTTCATCTCTGATTTCTAAAAACCTTTAAACCTCCTTCAGTGTTTTCATGTCACCAGAGAAACGTCACCTGACACCAGTTGAAGCTTCCAGAAGCTCCAGCTGTCGCCTGCCTCTATTATTTATTAGCTTTTATTATTTCCACATGTTTTAGTTGATTTAACTGTTAAGCTTCATAAAATTGTAGGTTGTCTTTTTTTTTTAAACTATTTATCTATTTTAAAAATATATATAATTATTTTAAAATGTTTGCTCTTTCATATGATTTACTTTTTAATGCATATCAACATTTTTGTATACATTCAAAATTAATTTACATTTTACTGA